AACAAGAAATTGCAGTAATTCCTATAACGCTTATAAGAAATTTGAAGTATTTCATTGTCAGGGTTCTTTTTCAGTTTTTGGTGAAGTTTATCGCGGTGACGGATAGACCTTATCAGTCCAGGCGTCATCCAGGCCTTAAGCGTTCGTTTCGCTCTAGGAATCTTAATTTTAACAGTATTTTTCTTTATGGCAGAGGCTAGTAAATCAACAAATTTTTCGGCAGCCGTGTCTGCATTTGAAGTTGAAGATATAAAAGAAAAATCAGCAGACTCTATAGATTTGATGGCATCATCATGATTTATTTTATCAATGAAAATATTATTAGGCTTGCGTTTGGAGTTCAAAGAAACATTTGTTAAGATTAAGGAGTGATCAGTGATTACACTATCGAGTTTTTTTTTTTTTTTTTTTTTTATAGGAGAGGGGGCAAACGAGCATGCGGCTCACCTGATGGTAAGTGACTACCGCCGCCCATGAACAACCGCAACACCAGGGGAATTGCAGATGCGTTGCCGGCCTTTTAAAAAGGAGTAGGCTCTTTTCTTGAAGGTCCCTAAGTCGTATCGGTCCGGAAAAATCGCTGATGGTAATCGATTCCACAAGGAAGTCGTGCGAGGAAGAAAACATCTTCTAAATCGCACAGTGGTGGACCGCCAATCATCCAGATGGTGTGGATGGTATCGGGAGTTCTGCCGCGATGTGCGTTCATGAAATTTGGCGGCTGGGATTAATCCGAACAATTCCTCAGAGCACTCCCCATGGTAGATGCGAAAGAAAATGCAAAGAGATGCAACATCTCTTCGCAATGCCAATGAATCGAGCCGATCGGAAAGGGCTCGGTCGTCGACGATTCGAGCCGCTCTGCGCTGGATGCGGTCAAGTGGAAGGAGCTGGCACTGGGGAGCCCCTGCCCAGAGATGGGAACAGTATTCCATGTGAGGCCGAACCTGCGCCTTGTAAAGTTGCAGGCGGTGTGCCGGCATGAAATACTGTCCCGCTCTGCTGAGCACGCCAAGCTTTTTAGAGGCCAATTTGGCCTTCTCTTCCAAGTGACCACGAAACTGCACGTCACTCGATATGTCGACTCCGAGGATACCGATACTGGCTGAGGCAAGAAGGGGAGTGCCTTGAAACTGAGGAGATACGACAAAGGGGTTCTTTTTAGCGGTAAACGCGCAAACTTGTGTCTTCTGAGGATTAAACTGGACTAGATTTAGTCGCCCCCAATCCGAGACTTGGTCCAGCAAAGACTCGACTTCAGACACAAGTTTGTTCCGGTACTCGGCGACGTTTTCCCGAGAAATATTGGCCCGGCCGGTGTATAGAGCATCACCAGTGCTGTCATCCGCATAGCAATGAATGCTACCAGTTAGCAACATATCATTGATATGCAGAAGAAACAGCGTTGGTGATAGCACACAGCCTTGTGGAACACCAGCGTTAATAGGCTTGTAGTCAGAACATGCACCGTCTACAACGACCTTGATGCTCCGATCTGCAAGGAAGCTGGTGATCCAATTGCACAATTTCTCGGGAAGCCCATAGGAAGGGAGCTTCGAAAGAAGCGCTTTGTGCCAAACCCGATCGAAGGCCTTCGCAATGTCCAGACTAACGGCCAACGCCTCCCCCTTGGACTCTACTGCCTCCGCCCATCTATGGGTCAGGTAGACTAGAAGATCACCAGCTGATCGACCCCGACGAAAACCGTATTGGCGGTCACTGATCAGCTGGTGATCCTCAAGGTACCGGATGAGCTGGCAGTTAATAATGGATTCCATTATTTTGGAGAACAAGGAGGTGATCGCGATAGGCCTATAGTTGGACGGGTCTGAGCGGTCGCCTTTTTTAGGGATCGGGTGGACAAAAGCTGTCTTCCATGAGTTCGGGACAACGCCATGGGAGTAGGAGTACCGGAAAAGACGCGTTAGAACCGGTGCCAACTCCGGAGCACACGTCCTCAGCACAATTGGGGGGATTCCGTCAGGCCCACTCGACTTGTGGATGTCAAGGGAGAGGAGTGCTCTGCGAACCGAGCGCTGTGAGAATAGCACATCCGGCATAGAGCACTCACACCGCGGGATGGTCGGCGGTGTGTTCCCCCCGTCATCAACAGTCGAGTTGGACGCAAAAAGGGAGCCTAAAAGGTCGGCCTTCTCTTTTGCGTCGTGGGCCAGTGAGTCGTCCTCCCTGTGCAGAGATGGTAGTGATGGCTTACAGAAATTCCCTTGGACAGCCTTGGCGAGAGACCAGAATGCACGGGTTCCCGAAGGAAGGCGAACTAGTTTCTCGCCAATTCTACCTATGTGCTCAGACTTTGCCTTGGCAATAACTCTTTTGAAGGACCTGGAGGCGAAGTTATACTTCTTTTTAAGTGTGCTGGTGTTTACATCCCGAGTCACCGAAGCCGCAGCCCAGGCTTGATAACACTCCTGCTTTCTGCGCAATGCAGTCTTACAGGAGCGACCAAACCAAGGCTGAGATCTGCCTCCAATGGGTACCACAGATGATGGAATAAATAGTTCCATTCCCTGTAGCACCACATCAGTGACAGAGTCAGCAACAGCGCTGGGATCATCCGGCGAGAAGCAAACACGCCCCCATGGGTAGGATGCAAAGAAAGACCGCATTCCGTCCCAATCCGCCGACCTGTAATGCCAAACACGGCGGCAACCTGCAGAACGCAACCGCGAAGGGAGCGTGAGTGGCACCATACTCCGGATCAGACAATGGTCCGAAGAGCCGAGAGGGGCATCGACGGAAACCTGATATCCGTCCGGATGAGAGGTCAGCAGAAGGTCCAACAGGGAAGGTGTATGATCCTCCACATCTGGAATCCGTGTAGGCGAAGTAACCAGTTGTGTCAGACCATATGCCAAAGCAAAGTCATAAACAGATCTCCCCGCATGATCGGTTAAACGTGAACCGAGCCATTCGGCATGGTGGGCGTTAAAATCGCCAAGGATCACGATCTCTGCGGATGGGACCTGTTGTAGCAAGGAATCTGTAGCCATTTGGACGTGGTCGATGAGTCGGTCTGTTTCGGCATTACCGCTATGGGACCTATAGAGGCACCCGTAGACGCGCGGATGGTCGTCGCTGTCTACGCGTAGCCAAAGGATGGACAGGTCCGAACCTTCAAGACTGCCGAGGCGTCGAGAACAGATGTCCTCTCTGACATACACGCAAACTCCAGCCCGAGGCACAAAGGAGTGCTCCAATTTGTACCCCGGGCAGGAGAGATACGAAATATCAGCCGGAGAGGAAACCTGCGTCTCGGTCAGAAAGAGCAAGGCCGGCTTCGCCGTCTCGAGATGGTAGTGGACGGCGTTTAGGTTAGAGTGAAGTCCCCTGATGTTGCAGAAATTCACGGATAGCGTGGCAGGGGTCGCCTTGGTATTGTTGCTCAGTTTGCCCCAAGCAGTTTTGTTTTTGAGCGGAATTTTGCCCCCCCCAGAATACGCGGGGCAGCCTGAGCACCCACGCTCAGGATTGGAATAACATGGTCGTGGATGCTCAGCGAGGGATTCTCCAGGGGTACTGGTACCCTCCTGGGGTAGTCTACTTTGTAATTCCGCTACCATGTTGATGGGGGGGGGGGGGAATTGGGCCTCCGGCCACCTGCACTCACCAGACGAAACGCAGAAGCAGAGCCTCTACTTCACGCCGGTATTCTGTGAGGTCGTGGTACCAACCCGGCTCGAGCCTGCCCATACGTGCAACAGCAAAAAAACTGCTGCGGGGCTCTACCACCGTTATTGAGTGTTTAATACTGTTTTCACCATAACATGGTCTAAACAATTATTGATACGGGTGGGATAGGTATGACCTGGTAAAAGACCTAATCCTGCAGTTAAATTTAAATAAGGCTCACAGTCTTTGTCTTTATTGCCTTGAATAATATTTATATTGATATCGCCCATACTAAATATGTTACTAGATTTTAAGGGACGAATAATTTTTTCTACAGAATCTAAAAAGTTGTCAATATAATAATAGGAGGGTGATCTATATACCGCTAATATTACTATATCTGGATTTATTTTAATCAAAAGATAGTTACCACCATTTGAATCAGGTTCTGTTATTATACAATCAATTGAGTGTTTAGAATAAACTGTTATACCATCATTTTGGATTGAACATTTTTTTGAGAAATGACATTTGTAACCTGGAAGCCGAGGAATAGGCTTATTAACATCAAGGCGACATTCTGTTAGTATTATAATATCTGGTTCAAATGAAAGTTGTGATATATATGCCATAAAGCCATCCAGGTTTTTATAGACGCTACGTATATTTTGTGCAATGATATTCAAAGAATTACAGGATTTCCTGACAATATCATTGCATTTTAAAACATCACACACAAAAGATGAAGCCACCCTAATATTATCAATATCAGATAGAATTTGATTCTGTAATTCAGGCATTTTTAAAGAGGAAAAATTCATTGTCACATCTATAGTATTATTTATAATCCATGTTGAATAAAAACAGTTTCTGTTTCTGTTCCTGACGATAAAGGGATTTTCCTCGAATTGGGAAGCTGTAACAGAACGAGTGTAGGTTTCGAGATATACTTTCACTTCTGTTTACTTCCACTATCTATAAAAGTTTTTATTTTTTCTTTCACTAATAAAAAGTGACAAACGAACTTACGAGTACAGTCCATCTGAAAGTAAGTGTCCACTGCAGCCCATGTACACCTGAAAACTTAGAGTACACTTAGCATAGCTTGCTCTATATTCTAAGTATGAAACCTTACTTCAAACAAAAGAGGCTACAAAATGCTTTGTCACTTCCGGTAACTAAGATGGATTGTCTCACACACTTTTTATATTGCTTTTCCATATAGGTACCCTCTATCTATAATATGTCTAGGTAGGTAGTGGCAGCGCAAAGGATTTTTCCCACTATGTGTCTATTTTATTACATAACTTTACATGTGGGAATGGTGAAATGAAATAATATTTAAAGAGTAAAACTTTATTGTTTTATTATTATTTTGTGTAACTTTTTATATCCGGAAGTAAAGGTTGTCCGAACTTTTGATGACGCTGTATCATTTTTCTGAAGGGATGAATGGGGTTTGTGCTGAAATAAGAATAAAAAAAACTTAATTAGTATGAAAGCAAATAAATAAAAGAGGCTTACGACTTTGCAATGACTAAAGAAGATTCGCAAGCGTTTACCGCTTACCGAGTTTAATCCCATGTCGGTTGGAAGTTCTCCCCTTTTCCCACCCACGGCCAAAATAATAAGTAAAAGTTACTGCCTCTATAAAAAGTTGTAATGCACTGGTAGAGTTACCAGGACCTGAAATTGAGAATCCGGTTTGCACCCGGTCAAAAATCCTGATTTTTGGCAATAAATCCTGTCTGCGGCCGGCATCCCGGCAATAAATAGATTGTAATTACGCTTTATTTCTTGTCCAATGACCATTGTGGCTATTGTGGATGATTTGCGCAGTGTTTTTCCATTACTAGCAACAGCTATCAAAAAGTTGGTTTCTTCTCAAAATTTTGTTGGAAATTACGACCTGTACAACCATTACGCCGAGTATGTCATACCTAAATCGGCATTCAAAACAGTTTCATTGATCTTGGCTGGAATCAAACTCGGGTAGCTCCTATGATGTCGAACTATAAGCAGGCCTGTCTCACTCCGCGCTTTAGGAATGAAGATATACCTACGCTGCGTGGACCCTTACAAGGGGTTAATTCCGTGAGGTTGTCACTCGCGCGTGACATTCAATCTTAATTTTTCTTGATTTTGTATATTAACCTTCCTCACTTTTAACAATAATGTTCTTATTATCAGCAACTTACTAATACATTGCATGCAACACCTCACTGTATTCTACTACCAACTAATATCAAAGGATTCAATTTGTTTTTTCACTACACCTAACCCTACAGTGGGAGCGGCCTTAACAAAGGCGTGTAACGGGCTAAGTGATATAGATACTCGCACTCGCACAATCGGTAGGCTATTTTAACGAAGGTCACATCGGAGGCGTGCAAAGCATTATAATCATTAGCGACGTTATAACTAGTCTTCACTCCATCCAGTGGGGGGAGGCCCTACACTTGGCCTACTGGTACGAGGCTGCCACTCGGGAACCTTTTTTCCCCATCGGTTGTCGGTTCTTCGAGCTATATAGCCGGCCCATTACCACTTCAGCATACTAATCCTTTGGGCTATATCGGTTACTCTGGTTCTACTACGGATATCCTTGTTTTTAAGTTTATCACGTAGAGAATCGCTGAGCATAGCCCTCTTCATAGCTCGCTGAGCGACTTTGAACTTCCTCATACGGCCAGCAATGAAAGACTACGTCTCAGATCCAAAGATCATCACTGGCAATACGCACTAGTTGTACAATCTAGTTTTGGGGTTTTGAGGTATGTCTGACGAGAAGATGTGTCGTAATCTCCCAAATGCTGCCCAGCCGAGTTGAATCCATCGATTGACCTCTCGGTTGAAGTTGGACTTACTTAGTTGGACTATTTGTCCCAAGTAAACATACTCGTCAACAACTTCGAGCTTCGTGCTCCCAACAACTACCGGCATAGGTGTGACATGGATGTTAAGCATGATTTTTGTTTTGTCCAACTTCATCTTAAGACCTATCCAATGGGAGACACTATTGAGGTCATTAAGCATAGTGCTTAGGTCCTCAAGCGATTCTGCCAGAAGTACTATATCGTCGGCAAATCGAAGGTGAGCGATGTACTCACTATTGACGTTAATACCGTATCCTGTCCAGTCCCGTAGCTTGAAAACATCTTTCAATGCAGCGGTGAAGAGTTTCGGGGATATTACGTCACTCCGTCTTACACGTCTCTACAGTTGAATAGGTTTCGTATTCTGGTTCTGTACTCGGATAGCCATCGTAGCCCTAACAACCATCGTAGCCCAAACACTTCAGCACTTCGATATACCGACAGTCCACTTGGCACCGCTGAAAGTACTGCAGTACCGCCCAAATTTCGACGGAATCAAAGGCTTTCTCATAGTCCACATACGCAAGATAAAGTGGCTGATTGTACTCTACTGTCTTCTGAACAATTTACCGAAGGGTATTTATGTGATATATGGTGCTAAAGCCTTTTCGGAAACCGGCTTGTTCGGGAGGCTAGAAATCGTCAAGTCTGCATGCGAGACGATTCGTAATGACTCTCGAAAACAGCACGTAGACGCGGCTCAGAAGGGATATCGGTCGGTAATTCTTAAAGAGAGCGTTGTCGCCTTTCTTGAAGAAGTAGAATACGTCACTTCTGCTCCACGCCTCCGGAGTAGTGCCACCATGGAGGACGGAATTTAAGTGCTTCTGAAGGACTCTAAGTACCGGTTTTCCACCCGCTTTCAGAAGCTCCGCTGTAATTACATCCTCGCCCGGGGACTTGCCGTTTTTAAGATACTGGAGAGCCATTCTATTCTTGCTCAGACTGACGTCCGGGATATCATCGGAATAGTGTCGGATAAGACTTGTTCTTGGATCGTTACTCACACTTGCATGTGGCTCCAACGATGACGTGTACAGCTGTCCATAGAACATCTCAATCTCACTCAAGATCTCAGGTGTCCGAAAACCATGCTGCCACATTCGGTCTTCAGCTTCGACAGTTGGCTCTTTCTGGCAGACAGATCTCTTGCAAAAACTTTGGAGCCCTGGTTACGCTCGATTGTTCCTTCAATACGAGCAGTATTAAAGTTGCGTAAGTCCTGCCGCATGCGTTTGGAGATCTGTCTGTTCAATTTTTTTTTATAGAATAGGGTGACAAACGAGCACACAGTCCACCTGATGGTAAGTGGTTGCTGTGATATCTACATTTCTCCTCAATAAAGAATCAAAATGCAGATGCGTCGTCACCCGTGAGGACTAAGATGGAATGCCTCTTTTCCAGTAAAATGGGTCTCCGGTTCTCTACACTCACCATACGAAACACAGCAGTATCAAGCTGCCATTTTACGCTGGTATTCTGTGAGAGCGTGGTCCTTCCCCGGTTGAGCCGACCCATTCGTGCTACAACTATAGTAGTAATGTATCTCCAGCATGGCTCTACCACGTAAATTGCCTGTATGCTATCAAATCTACTAAAGACTGCAGCTTCATTTCCCGTCTAACAGCCATGAGATCAAGAGTGTGATCGGAGAGTTTTTGTGTTCTTCTTCGGCGGGTCTTGCAAAGCTTAGCTACGACAGCGTGGACAGGTTCCACGAGCTTGTCATTTCTATCGTTCACTGCATTTAAATCTTCTAGGCACTGAAAACGGTTTTGTAACTCGAGCTGAAAGGTTTCGGGGCTTTGGATTAGAGTACGAGGGGACGGAGCATTTATTTCATTAGACGACACCTCTCCAACTTAATGTTTAGGTTCAGTGTGCCTCTAACAATTCGGCGATCGCTACCAGTTTCATCCTCGCGATCACTGAGACATCACTGAATAGTTGCCGTCTAGTCGTCATAATGAAGTCAATCTCATTTTTTGTCGAACCGTCGGGGCTCAACCAGGTCCACTTCCTGTGAGGCCGCTTCTGGAAGAAAGAGTTGATCATAAAGAGTCCCTCTTTCTCCATGAAGTCGCCCAGCTGCTGGTCCCTTGGGTTCCGCTGTCCTATTCCGAATTTGCCTACTTTCAGATCACCGTTCTTTCTTGTGCCTAGTTTTGCCTTGAAGTCTGCCATTAACACCGTTTAGTGGGTTTTGGAGGAATGCATGACGCCGTGGACTGGGGGCCGTTTATTAGTGTCATTGCTCGTAGGGGTGTATTGCCATAGTTGCCATGCTTGGCGAGCGGGTTGGCAACCGCAGTTTTTTTATTCCTTTTTGCTGTTATCAGAAAGATGCTGCTGCCCGTTTTTTGCCTCAGTTTCCCTCTGTCCACTTTTACGACACCCACATGAAGATATGGGCTAGTTGGTATTTTTCCCCGCTACTACACGGGGCGGGTAAGAATACCCACGACCCCATATATGCCTTATTTAGTAAATAATAATTATAACTTTAACAAAAAGTAAAAACCGATTTCAAATCGCTAAGAAAGAAGTTACTTATTTGCTACCCTTCGTGGTGATTTTTTCTCTCCAAATGTATATTGGAATTACCCTTGAAATATAAACTATTTAATAAAAAAGAATCATCAAAATTGGTTCACAATTTGCAAAGATATCGCGTAACATACATACAAAAAACACACTTTCTCCTCACACAACTTCCTCCTTTTTAAAATGGGTCAAAACGGGCCTTCGGTTCTCGTCAAACACCATAGCATTATAAGTTTTTTTTTATAGTATAAAGGTGACAAACGAGCACACAGTCCACCTGATGGTAAGTGGTTGCTGGCCCATAGACATCTACATCCATCCTCGTTTGTGAATCAAAATGCAGGTGCGTTGTCAGCCGTGAGGACTAAGATGGAATACTTCTTTGCCTGTAAAATACCAATTTAAAAAAAAAAAACTGCTATTTTAAATTGATATTCTATAAGAATTTTAGAGTATAAGTTGCTTGCTTATGTATACTCATAAGATAAGAATGAAGTCCACGGATGAATCTACCACTGACCGAGGAAAGACATTCGTGCTAAACATTGAGTTATATGTACTACGTACTAGAGAAGCCATTCCAAACAAAAATTGTGTCCTACTCTATGTCATCGCGCATGCGCGGGAGTAGTAGTCGCGCATGCGCGAAGACTTTAATATAAAATAAGATATTAAAATAAAATAAATATAAGAATTTAATATAAAATATCTTAATTTAATCTAAACAAAGATATTTCTAAATAAAATGTAATAATAATTATTTTATGGAATTCACAAATCTTCAATTTACGCAATATTTAGTTTGTATGGATTGCACTACAGTTCAGTTGATAGTCAATGTTCGGAATGGCTTCTCTAGTACGTAGTACATATAACTCAATGGTGCTAAAGAAATAAAATAATTAAAAACTCTTCAGTGCAAAGCAAATTGAAACCTATGCAATATCTTGTCAAAACTTTTAATGACGTTACCCGACGATTTTTTAATTAATTTTGCATGCCTATAACAACATCGAGCCTACACCTCAATATCTCCCTCACGACCCTCAACATCTTGTTTTTTGAATAAGAAATGTAATGAGTGTTACTTGTATCACCTCTCTCCATCTAAATGAATATTGACTTTGTCTCTCATGGCCTCTTTGAACATAATGGCTTCCTTCGTAAAAGGGCGTTGTTTACATTCGACATTTTGTAATTCAGTTTCCTGAAAAAGCAACCTTGCTAAATTTTATAAAAAAATGAATGCATACATTTGAAAAAATTGTCAATAAAATAAAGTAAGTAGGTTAATTTGAAACAAAAGCACTGAAATTAGAAATATTTGGTTATTAAATATGAACGGGGAAATTTTTCGTATAGTGGCTGTGTAAGAATATCCACTACCTCATTATCATCCCGTGGTTATCGTAGGAGGCGATAGAGGGAAACAAACAAGCAGATGGGCAGCAGCGTCTTCCTGATAACAACTTAAATATGGTTGCCAGCTCGCCAGCTAAACGAGACAACTATAGCACAATCCTTCCTATGAGGTAGTCTATGGGGGAAGCGAATGTTAAGCAGTAGAAGTTTCATAGGCTGTAATGTAGTAATGTGGTGATGGGCAAAATTTTACTTGTAGTTGGCAATACACTTTAAAAATATTATACAAGTTTGGGCAATTCTTTCAAGTTCATTATACATTTTTAACGTCGTAGAGTCATGCTGCATCTATTAGTAGTATAGTTGTAGCACGAATAGGTCGACTCGACCGGGGAAGGATCACGCTCTCACAGAATACCAGCGTCAAATAGCAGCTTAATGCTGCTGTGTTTCGTATGGTGAGTGTAGAGAACCGGAGACCCTTTTTACTGGAAACGAGGCATTCCATGTTAGTCCTCACGGCTGACAACGCATCTGCATTTTGATTCACAAACGAGGATAGATGTTTGTAGATGTCTATGGGCCACAGCAACCACTTACCATCAGGTGGACTGTGTGCTCGTTTGTCATTCATATCCTATAAAAAAATATAAACTTTCTCGACTGTCACCAATTCACACTTCTCTTGCTCCTTTCTCATAGATAGTGTTAATAAAGTATGTACTGTGTGAATTAATTAATAAAGAGTACTATTAAATGTGCATTTGATTTGAAACTTTTTTATATTACCAAAATCTTCTGGTTATTTTTTATTTGGTTTGTCAGCATATTTCTATATTCGATTTGTTTTTTTAATTCCTCATTAGCGCTATTCAATCTTCGTTGTAATTCCAAGTACGCTGTTTTTTTAACTCGTTCCATCTGCTCTCTTCTTTCTATTCGTTCTTTTTTATTTTGGCGGTTTAATTCTTCTAAATATTGTTTGTAATTTTGCAGAGCTTTCTGTAAATAAAAGAAATTGATATCACGAATAATGTTAAAATTTAGGGTGAAATTTCTGAAGCGTATACAGACAGAATAAAATATAGTTTTATCAACCTCTCTTTCTATTTTCTTGACAATTTCTTCTTGTATTGTATGTTCATCGTTTTCTTTTTCAGCTTTTGTTTTATATTCTTGAATAATTTTGTTTGTTTCGTTTTCTAAATCTGCAGCCACTTTTCTTTCGCGATTATGGTGATCCACGAAAACTAATTCTTCTTGTTTTAACGCTCGCTAAAATACAATAAAACTGCGTTAATCTATATCACCATAGTAATCAATACAGCCCTAATAATTTATAAATGTAGAATTGACTTCTTCCATTCTTAGAACAATTTTATTAGCTTGACCTGTTATATTCAGTTATTATTTACTACCGGATGACTGAATGATCTGAAATTTTGCAGGCGTATTGAGAACCGATTGAGATAGATAGAACCGACAATGATTTCATGACTATGTACTAGTGTTCTCACTGAAATCATTACATCATTACATGCATGAATGCGTGTCGTTATAGGTTTTTTTTTTAATTCTTATAATATTAGTCCTCTTAACTTAAAAAAAAAAACATTCACCAGCAGTGATCTTTTATAGTCTATTTACTATTGTTTTCATATTTACTCGTTTTCTATCTCTAAAATTCCATCTATGTAACGTGTTTTTTTTTCTAAAATTATATTTTTATATTATAATTCCATTCTGTTATACGCGTCTTTAAGAGCCGTGCCATTGCCATCGCAAGGCTTACTCGGTATTATCTAAGAAAAGCTTCTTAGGCGATGTCTTTGAAAATTGAGCTAAAATAAAGCAATTGCGTTAACTTAGAAGTACAAATAAAATATTAAAGATGCCTAGAAGATGAGATTTGCTGTTATATAATTTACCTCAACAGATTCTACGGTAGGGTTTGTTTAAGCCCGTATATATTCTAAGTCTACGGGTTTGTTTTATAACCTTTATCCACCGAGATCAACTAAATGTTTTTTTATTATCAAATAATCCTAAATACAGGATTTTCTATTATGTGGACATTTTTTTATTATCTATCTTTATTTAAAAAGGCTTTTATCCTACAAGGATATGTCAGCCTTATCGTAACCTAACTTATTCTTTTTACACAAATGCTATTTAGAAAGGGGGAATCAATGTGGGAATATTGAAATGAATGATTTTGCTACCACTGAGTGTGGCTCTGCAAGTATACTAAAAAACCAACCCGTTTCATTGGTTTTTGAGTATACTTGCAGAGCCACAGAAATTATGTGGACTTAAAAAGAATCAATCCACCTCTCTATTTAGAGTGTCATAAAAGTCGAATCAAACAGCAGTGCGATTGTGTAACTTAGATGGGAATCGTGGTTGGCTTCAAATGTCAAAATTTGACGTTATGTTTCGTTGTATTGAGTGTATGCTTAGTGATCAGGCGATCAGCATCGATTATAAGCCGATGGTTTTTATATATTTTTTTTAAATATACTAGCAATGGTATTAACATTAATATACTAATATACCCACACCTGGTAAGGTTAAAATGCTGTGTCAGGAGTGGCTCACGACAGTAGCCGAATGGTGGATTCGAACCCATAACCTTTTGAGTTCGCGGTCCGCACCCTGCCGTTAGGCTACTGTTGCATAACTATATAACATATTGTTTTATTTAGGCTACGATAGAATATAATAGAATAGAATAGAATAGAAAGGAATAGAATAGAATAGAACAGAACAGAACAGAATAGAACAGAATAGAACAGAATAGAACAGAATAGAACAGAATATAACAGAATAGAATAGAATAGCATAGAATAGAATATTTTTTTATTGAACATACATTACATGTGTAATTATTGACAGTCATTTTTTACTTTACCACTGGTTCCAAATAAACCCTCTGTCCTGGGCAGAACCAACAAGAAACCCAGCGGGGCCTTTTTTTAAAAATAAATTTTACAAACTAGTTACAAAATTCATTTTAGAAACTGCTTGGAAGTGACCTCCTCATTCCCAGGGGTTATTATCAACCATGTATTCATTTATAGTATAATAATCCTCTTTATACAGTTTCAGCTTAATAAAACATTTAAACTTGGTAATAGAGAGAGCCTGTACACTTTCCGGAATCTCGTTGTAATAGCGTATACATTGTCCCAAGAATGAATTACTGACTCTGTGGAGTCGAGAAACTGGTGGAGATGCTTGTGTTTGTTCCTAGTGTTTACAGAATGTATATCACTTTTTTTACTAAAATTACCTTTGTTTTTGTGAACACACATTAAATTTTCGTAAATATACTGAGAGGCCAAAGTTAATATATTTATTTCTTTAAATTTATATCTAAGAGATTCTCTCGGTTTTAGATTGTAAATAGCTCTAATGACCCTCTTCTGTAAAACAAAAATAGTTTCTGAATCAGCCGCATTTCCCCATAGCAAAATCCCATAAGACATTATGCTATGGAAATAACTGAAATAAACTAATCTAGCTGTCTCGACACTAGTGAGACTTCTAATCTTTTTACATCATAGGCTGCAGAACTTAGTCTGCTTGTTAATTTGAATATATGGGGGCCCCACTGAAGCTTTGCGTCGAGAGTGATGCCAGGAAAAACAGTGGATCAACAGGGCTCAGTTCCTTCCCAATTAAAAATACATTGATATTCAGATTTTTAACATTCGTTGTTGTAAATTTAACACAATTAGCTTTATCTTCGTTTAAATGTAGATTATTAACATTAAACCAATGCACTAATTTTGATATAGCATTATTAACTTCGTCACATTTAAATGATTGACGTTTAAGTTTAAAAATCAAGGAAGTATCATCAGCAAATAATACTATATCATGATTATCCCCTACAAGGGAAGGTAGGTCATTAATATACACTAGAAACAGGAATGAATCCGAGTCATCTGTACTGAGGGACACCCATTAGTACAGGTGACCAGGAAGAACTTTTACCATTGATAATAACCTTCTGCATTCTATTACTTAAATATGAAATAATACGTTTAAGCGCTGTGTTCTTGACGCTATAGTACTGTAGCTTCCTGATTAATGTCTCATGGTGAACACAGTCGTAGGCCTTGGAAAGGTCACAGAATATACCCAAAGCATCCTCTGAATTCTCCCATGCACAAAAATAAGTTTAATAAGCTCAACTCTAGCGTCAGTTGTCGAGTGACCCCTTGTAAAACCGAATTGATTTTTATGTAACAATTTATTAATATTAAAGAAACTTAACATCTGATCTAACATTATTTTTTCAAAAATTTTACTAAATGTTGGTAGGACAGAAATTGGTCTAAAATTGGCGGGGTCTAATGTTACTACCAGATTTAAATAAAGGTATAATTTTACTATGTTACATTAAATCAGGAAACATACCAGATTTGACGCTTGTATTAAATATAGTGGCTAGATAAGGTGCTATTATATCTATTATAGATAAAATAACTTTAACGGAAATCCCCCATAAGTGTGCCGTTTTCTTAACATCAATGTTTTTATAATAAAAAAAAAAAATACATTCGTGGAGTGATTCCCACTGGCAACGATCCCCACCAGATATTTACTTAATGGCACTGTTTATATAGACAGATGGCTATTACAAAATACAAATACCATGTCTAACTTACTGATCCATACAACAAGTAGTTGAAGAAAATACGTGTTGTAGGAATAGAATAGACTAGAATGATCAGATGGACAGACATTCTGGTATCACGCGTAAGGTCGATAGATGCTGGTATGGAAGTATATAGAATGTACATAGTTCATAATATATTCCGAGTCAGCGGGGCAAAACAAAAACGTCAATTAACTGTTAAAATATAATATGAGAATGATATGATGTCTATTTTTCCGTCCGAAAACAATCTGGGCATCTTCAAAGCAATAGTGAATAGACTTTTGTTACGCTAAGACATTGCGATTTACCATCAAGGGCTACATCACCACTTACCGTTAGGTAGCATTGTGGTCAAGCACTGGCTTATAATACGTAAAAAAAAAATGCTACATACTATTTTATTTTTTTGCTTTTGTCTTTCTTTTTTTAGCCCTTCTTTCGCTACTCTAATGTAGTTTGCATCGATTTCTCTTTCTTGGTTCTTCTCGTTTTTCAGTCTTGACAGTTTCATTTCATGACCCTTTATAAAATTTAATCTGTTGGCCGTTTGCTGTTCCCTCTTGTGTTTTATAGCTATAATTAAAATGAATAAAATTTGCTTTAAAAGTCGCAAACAAGACATTCACTAAAAAGAGCTGTTAATGCTGAAAATACATGCATGTATGCTTTCATCTTTTAAGTTGTTTTGTCAAAACACTGATCTAGATCTTTTAGATTTGTCCTATTTTAAGGTAGCAACAAGTTTTAAATGATGAGAACGTTAGTATTAGACATTTAAGGGAGAAATAATGGTTTGCTACATATGTCGTAGGATAATTTGATAAACCGAATTTTCGGTAAAAATCTAGGCATATCGCGAAAACACGGATAATTAGACAATGGCTATGACATTTCTCAATCTTACTGAAAAAAGATAGTGGTTTTTGTAGAAACGCCTTTTGTAAACATTATCTTTATAAATTAAAGTAATTATAAAAGTTAATATATTGGTGTTTTATTAGTGCAAGAGCGAACGAAGCTAACTCGTGACTTGGGGTACCCCGACTCGGACAGGTTAGGTTAGAAGGTTAGAAGGTTAGTTATTTTCTTATAAATCACTAAGAGGTAGGAGCCCCGCTTTGCGGGGCTCCGTCGACCTAGTTTCCCTCGACTGCGCCACGTTGGGCTACCCTGCCCCAACTCTCTCCCCCCATAAATCAGGTTCATATTGTCAAAAACATTACGAAAACATAACCACAAAATGAGACTTTTTTCAGAAGATTGAGAAATGTCATAGCCATTGTCTAATTATCAGTGTTCTCGCGATATCCCCTGATTTTTGCCGAAAATTCGGTTTATCAAATTGTCCTACAACATATATACGCTTATACACATTGAATAATAATTTAACGGATTTTCTTACATTTAAATTTCTAATAAAAAATCTGATCTTTGGAGCGGTTTATTGCACTTGAGTTTTATTCGAGGAATAACAGATTACGGAAGGAATGCCTAGAATCTGTTATATTCTAGGGAAGCATATATACAATAAGGTTCTTAAGCGGTAATAATCTATAAGTTTACACATAGATGAAGATCCCAGGGCCACCAGAGACGTCACTTATTTTCTGACGGACGAAATGTGTAAGATTGTGTAGTGTTAGTATGAACTATGATCGCATGCCTACCTGCTAGCTGGGCCAGAGGGCCACTTTCCAGGTATCAAGTTATCAAGGTACGTAAAAACATTGCTCACCTCACGTTAATTCCCCCAGCTGATTTTTACGTATGTGTTAAATAATATCATTAAAAATCAGTCATCAATACTCCCAGAAACTTACACTTACATTCTGAACCTTCATTTTCATATATGTATAAAATTATTAATATATAAAAATGTCTAACCTTTAAAACGTTTTACAAGAAGGCAGACGGCTCTAAGGGGTCAATCAACGTCTGGTCGACGATCGATACAACGACGGTTAAGTACCATAGTGACTAAGCATTTGACAGTAGAACTGCGGGGCCGCGGGTACAAATTCCCGTACAGTACTGGTGTCTATATGGCTAACTGATAAATGATATGAAACTGGAATTTTTGTCCATGTGCAATTTATATAAATGTAAAATTACTCCATTATACGGGAGAAAATACTAGTGTAGGGTTAATTCTTTTACATATAAAAAATGAAAAAAGATATTTTTAGTAATAGTATTGCTCGTTCAGCAAAATATAGAACACGATATAATAATGTCCTCCAGACCGAATTTTCGGTCACGGCGGCCAGTCTCAACGGAGACTAGCCATCGGCGCAGGACAGGGTTATAGTGCCCAAGTGTATGTGCAAGCACAGGTGCACTCTCTATTCCCTCACTCTCATAGTCCGATGGGACGGTAAACCGACCAGAGGGAAATCAGGCGCAGGATCAACGGCGTAACGTGCTTTCCGAGGCACGGGGGTGATACACCGCCAACTTCCTGACTCCGGGCAGCTGCTGAGAATTTCTTGATGGTAAAACTCAATAACTGAATTTTTTGGCCCGACCTGAGACTCGAACCTGGGATCTCATGATCAGCAGTCGCACTACTATAACCACTAGATCGACGAGGCAGTCAAAAAACGCGATATAATCGTATAGTGGCGGTGTAAGAATATCCACTACCCCATATCGGCCCGTGGGTGTCGTAAGAGACGACAGAGGGAAACTGAAATAGAAAATGGGCAGCAGTATCTTCCTGGTAACAATTCAAAATAATAAAAAACTTCGGTTGGCAACTAGCCTGCCAAGCGTTTTATTTATAGAATAGGGTGACAAACGAGCACACAGTCCACCTGGTGGTAAGTGGTTGCTGCGGCCCATAGACATCTACATCTATCCTCGTCTGCGAATCAAAATGCAGATGCGTTGTTACCCGCGAGGACTAAGATGAAATGCCTCTTTTTCAGTAAAAAGTGTCTCCGGTTCTCTACACTCAACATACGAAACAGCAGTGTTTTGAATGTCGAGTTTTTGTTTTGTGTTGTCGTACTACAACTATACTACTAATATAGCTGCAGCATGGCTCTACCACGTTAAAACGTGCCAACTATTGCAAAATCCCCCTATGAGGCAATCTATGGGAAGGACTATGTTGAGCAGTGGACTTTTCATAGGCTATGATGATGGTGATAAGGTTGTAAGTACATTCTACCGTCATAATATTCTTGTTCAATCCTCAGTTTCATCTTCTCCAGCCTTTTGTTTTCTTCATCCCTTTCATTTTTAAAGGCTTCTTGTCTCTCTCTTTTTGCATTGGCAATTTGTTCGTCGTATGCTTTTCTACGTTCAAGCATCTCTTGTCTTAACCTATTTGCTTCTCTTCTTTCTCTTTCTTCCTAAAAGTAATGATATAATTTTAATTTTCATTTAATATAAAGTGTATTTAATATCTTGCCGTGTCTTAAAATTATCCAATGACCCAATGAGTGTTGTTAGTGGCGACAGAACGAAATTGAAACAGAATAGTAGTTGGTAGAACCACGCTGCAGCTATATTATGGTTGTTGACGAACGGGTCGGCTCGACCAGGGAAGAACCACTATATTAGTAGTATAGTTGTAGCACGAATGGGTTGGCTCGACTGGAGAAGGACCACGCTCTCACCGAACACCAGCGTAAAATAGCAGCTTAATGCTGCTGTGTTTTGTATGGTGAGTGTAGAGAACCGGAGACCCTTTTTACTGGAAAAGAGGCATTCCATCTTAGTCCTCACGACTGATAACGCATCTGCATTTTGATTCGCAAATGAGGTTAGATGTAGATGTCTATGGGCCATAGCATTCACTTACCATCAGGTGGACTGTGTGCTCGTTTATCACCCTATTCTATAAAAATACCTCCTCATAGATTACCTTATAGGGGGGATTTGGCAATAGTTGCCACGCTTGGCAAGCTGGTTGGCAATAGCACTTTTTTATTATTTGAAGTTGTTATCAGGAAGATGTTGCTCTATCGATCGATCGATCGATCGATCTTTTGTTTAAGTGTCCCTCTGTTGCCCGTTACGACACCCACGGGACGATATGCGGTAGTGTACTCTCTAACGGTGGAGTATAGAGTAGAAGGAGAACAATCTCATATGGGGGAAAGTTAAAAAAGTGTCCAACTGTATACTGAAAATAGAGGTTCCAAAATCTGTCACAATAGAAATAATAAAAACTAAGATATGAATATAGCTGTTGTAGACGGAGTGAAGTCAGCTGAATTCAAATATTTAAAAATTTTCATGACTAGAGTAGTTATTAAAATGCTAGTATACAGAACCTCAACTATTTACGTAGTACAAAACCAAGCGGATTGGTCGGTCCTTGTTTATTTCTCCATCTCATTCTAATTACTTTTGGCGCTTTTTTTTTATTTATCCTATGCTACTGCAGCGCCACCCTTATTGGACGCGTTTTTAAAGACACTTATTTATATACAGAGATGGTCCTCCTTCTATTCTATACTCCATGTCTCTCACGCTGCCAATACACGGCGATCACAAAACCACAGATTAAATCATGTTACCCATGGAAATACATGTACTTACCATAAATAATAATTTTACCTTTTTTATAACATTATCTAGTAGAATGTGATGCCACATGTTTTCCATTTCTTCTGCCTCCTGTTCTATTTGTTTCTTTTCTTCCATTTGCAATTTTTGCATTGCTCTTAACTGAATTTCGTCTAATCTTGTACATTGCATACCTTTAGCACTGAAAATATTTAAATGAAACTGGCTTTATCAGATTTAACACCATTACTCTACCTGATGGTAAGCGTATGTTGTGCCTCATTGACATATACATTGAGATTTAAGATGAAATGCCTCGTTTACAGTAAAAAGGTTCTCAGGTTCTGCACACTCACCATATTAAAAAAAACAAAAGCATTACATTGCTATTTTATTTTAATGTTCTTTTCCCGGTCGAGCCGACCCATTCGTGCTACAACCCTAATATAGTTATAGCATGGCTCTAACACGTCAAGTATAAAAAATAAATAATTAAAATTAAAATAACGGCAGAGTCGGGAAGGGACGCCCTAGACGAAAGTTTATCGACCAAATTGGTGATATATTGAAAATTGGCCAAATCAAAAGTAACTTTAACCGACGAGCGTGTATGCGTAGGTATATGGATGTGGAGGAAGTGAGAGAGGTGTGTCAGGATCGTGTTAAATGGAAGTCCATAGTCTCTGCTTACTCCTCTGGGTGGCAGACGTGAGTGTTTATGTTTTAAAATTAAAAAATTTCAACACCCCCGAAACAAAAAAGAGCTGATGATCTTCAAATGGCTGAATATTTACTTACTTATCTTCACGCACAATCCCTGACGGGGTAGCCAGAGAGAACAGATCGCCAAGTGTCACGATCCTTACATACCTCTTTCGCTTCTTTCAGATTCATTATCTTCTTTATACATGCACGTCTAGGTATCCGAGTACTCTTGACCCCACCCTCTTCGAGCAATTTGCTCACATGGTCTTCTAAAGTTAGTCTTGATCTACCTCGACACCTTTTAATATTTACTTTCGCGCTATATATTTTCTTCACCATTCGGCCTTCACTCATTCGCTCAACGTGCCCAAACCATCGAAGCACGCCCTTATCAATTTTTGTGATAAGGTCATCTTTCAAACCTGCCATATTGCGAATCTCTTCGTTTCGCTTTCGGTCGGCCATGGTAACGCCACACATTTTACGAAGAGATCGCATCTCCACTGCATTTAACTTGCTTTTATGCTTCTTCTGGCATACCCAGGTTTCGCTGCCATATAACAAATTCGGTACCAACACCATTTACCTGTTCTAAACATTCCTGATTTACCCATATTTCACACTTCGTTCTCTCTTCGTCCCTTTCAAATACCAGAACCTTAGTTTTATTACCATTCAAACGGAGACCTTTAATTTCACATTCCTCTTTCATACACGTGACTAATGCCTGCAGTTCTGCCTCTGATGGTGCAATAAGCATTGCATCATCAGCATACAGCAGACAATTTACTTTTATGTCACCCAATTTCACACCCAAACAGCTATCTTTCAGCTTCTGTAAACAGCTGTCGAGATACAGTATGAACAGCCAGCAAGACATGACACAACCCTGTTTTACGCCCGTTTGGACGCTAAACATGGGTGACAGGTCATGCCCTACCCGCACACAGGCTTTACAGTCACAGTAAAGTGACTGCACAGCCTTTAGCAATCGACCATCCACACCATACCCCGGCAACAGTTCCCACATTTTCTTCCTTACAACCTTATCAAATGCTTTTTCAAGATCCACAAAAGCACAGAAAATATTCTGGTTAGCAGTCAGAAGCTTTTCCGTAATCATGCGGAGAGAAAACATTTGATCCGTGCATCCTCTTCCAGGTCTAAATCCGCATTGTGCCTCCCATACAAATCTTTCCGATTTCTCTTGCATCCTATCATGGCTGAATAGATTTCCTTAAAACATAGCTAAAAACAGTCCCGATTAAGGCACCTTTCGTACAAAAAAAGCTTAATCAAATTAGGTTCATACGTTCAGGAGCTGTGATGCTACAAACAGATACACATATACACAAATACACAGATATACACTACAAACATATAACACCCCTCTGTTTTCGTCGGGGTTTAAAAAAGAATCTCTTTACTTTACGTACCGCACAGCTTTTGAATAAGACCTAAAATTTAATCTACATAGAAAAATCACGTAACGCAATTTTTCTAGATATGTTAGTATTTTGTACAAGTCTAAAAACATAACAAAAACACACACTAAAAAAATAACTTTAAAAGTTGAGTCTTTTATAATTTTATATTTTTATTTACTCATCTACAAGTCTAAAATGTTATGAAAACTACTTTTTTTTTAGATTTATTATATGTATAGATATTTGGTCTGTCTCAAAATATATTTTAAGTACTTTAATATATTTTCGTAACAGTATACAGAGCACGTTATGAAAATATAGCAACAATAGTACACCCAACAAAATAGTATCACGACAAAACATGTCATTTCGTCATTTATAATATTATGCACAGGAATAGATTATAATAATGTACTTTTTCTTTCCGTCCAAATACTAAAAATAATATCCTTCAGACTTATTTTTGATAATGGTGGCAACGGTCTCAACTCTCAGTTGAGTCTAAGCATCTGCGCAGGCAAGATGCCTTACTCTCGTAGTAAGATGGAACGGCAATCGGCCACGACCGAAGGGATCAGGCGCAGGACCAACGGCTTTACGAACTTTCCGCGAATTACGGCCTGAAACACAGCCAACTTCTTGAAGCTGCTACTGATTATTTGACAGTTAGTACTTAGGGGCAACACCGCGATCCGAACTAACGAGGATGTCCTTTCGAATACTAAGGCCCGTATTAACAAACTTTACTCAGCTCAAGTACACGCACTTGAGTACAATCTTGAGGTTATGATCTTATTAATAAACATATCTCAAGATGCGGTTTAGGTTTACGATATCAGCTGAGTGCCACACTGATTAATAAACGAAACTCGACTCTCAAGTGTGTGTAGTTGAGTGCAGGTCACAGAACAATATTCCTAAGTACAGCGTTTTGAGATACTGTTTTGATGTGTTTAATAATTAGCAACGATCTTGAGATGATGATATCGTAATGAGGGCGTATCAAGTACGCACTTGAGTTCGTCGCTGAATACCGTTTATTAACACGGGCCTAAGACACATACTATAAACGCTTTGTCACTCTTAAGGACTAAAATGAAATGTATTTTACCCATAACGCCTGTTATAATACCGAACTCACTTTTACTCTTCAAACCGGAATGCAGTAATGGTTATACTGCTGAACGCGGCAAAATACGCAAGAGGGGGTTACTATCCTGAATGGACTCCTTTTCAGAAGGAACACTACTAAAATTATTAACCTGAGATAACATCACCACTTGCCATCAGGTGGAATCATAGTTATAAGAACCACTGACTGCTATTTTCACGATTATTTTTAGTATTAACTATTAAAAAAACGAATGGAAGAGATATTATTCGCCGATGTACTTACATTTTCTCTCTTTCCAACGCCTTTTTGCATTCCATCATCTGTTCTTTTCTAATTTCTTCTTCGTATTTTTTCTCATTTCTTTCTCTTTCGTGACAATAGGCACAACCTGCCATAGACTGTTTTATCATCAGTTCTTGCAATAAGCATTCTTCTTCTTGTTCTAGAAGCAGCTTAAGCTTTTGCCTTCGTTGTCAAAGCCGTATATCTTCTTGTTTTAACATCTCCCTTACTTTTGACTCAACTCTGTTTACTATAGCCCTGTAAACAGTAAAGTTATTTCTTATACTTATAGACACCTCTCTAGGGTGACATGGCGAAATAATTTTTTTTTTAATAGGATAGGGTGACAAACGAGCACACAGTCCACCTGATGGTAAGTGGTTGCTGTGGCCCATAGACATCTACATTTATCAGTGTTTGCGAATCAAAATGCAGATGCGTTATCACTCGTGAGGACTAAGATGGAATGCCCCTTTTCCAGTAAAAAGGGTCTCCGGTTCTCTACACTTACCATACGAAACACAGCAGTGTTAAGCTGCTATTTGACGCTGGTATTCTGTGAGAGCGTGGTCCTTCCCCGGTCGAGCCGACCCATTCGTGCTACAACTATACTACTAATACAGCTGCAGCATGGCTCTACCACGTTTAGATTCTCATACGCCATCGCAATTACTGTTGAAGTTTAGGTTTCTTTTTAAAAGATGTGTTCGCACTGATGTGTGCAGTTTTATAAATGTTATTTAGTTAATAAATTCAAATAAGTTAGAATACTGTGTATTTAAGGTGTAAGAATATTCACTAGGTACTCTATAATTGTCCAGTGAGTGTCGTAAAACGCAAAAGAGAGATAGAAAATTAATGAATAAACTTACATTTGTAAATGCTTATTGTCATATTCGACTACATCGGACAATTTCTTCATGTCTTCTACATCAATTACAATGTCGAGATCACACCGCTGTCGCGTCTAGAATAAAAAAATATATTTATAATGTTCCTAGAGCACATCATAAACACTACGTGCAGTGTCATGAATTTAAAAAAAAATCTTTAGTTTTCAGACGTAAAAAGACGTAAGTAATTATTTATTGTCTTATGTAAGTTTCATTAATCTATAACCATTTTAAAATTCCTCTTTATTTTTTTAAAATGAAATTAGGTTTTTATGACTGGTAAAGGAATGTCAAACGAAACTCCGCAGACATACAAGTTTTAACGAGGAAATTGCCATAGTAATGCCGTATGGTGTAAGTGAATTCATCACTCCGTTTTGTCCCTTGGGTGCCGTAACAGGCGATTACGGGCATTGACAATCTAATGGCTTCCGAGGCGATGGCAGGTTCGGCCTCACATGGAACCATCTCTGGGCAGGGGCTCCTCAGTGCCAGCTCTTTCCACTTGACTGCATCCAGTGCAGAGCGGTTCGAATCGTCGACGTCGCACAGTGGTGGACCGCCAATCATCCATACCATGGATGATTGGCGGTCCCCCATTGTGCGATTTAGAAGAAGTTTTCTTCCTCGCACAACATCCTCGTGGAATCGAATGCCAATAGCGATTTTTCTGGACCGATACGACTTAAGGACCTTCAAGAAAAGAGCCTACTCCTTTTTAAAAGGCCAGTATCGCATCTGCAATTTCCCTGGTGTTGCAGTTGTTCGTGGGCGGAGGTAGTCACTTATCATCAGGTGAGCCGCATGCTCGTTTGACCACTCTCCTATAAAAAAGTATTCTATTTGATTTACAATGAACATAAAATATTTAGACGATCGACGAGGAGCAGCGTGGAGCCGTCTGGTACTGGAATCATTCATCCACCTGTTAAACGTGATGATTAAGACAAATCCTCTCTATCACGAAAGAGGCCGATGTCCAGCAGTTAACTGTTATGGGCTAATGAAGATGAAGATGATGAATGTATATTTAAAATAGACCCATTGGTAATTAAAACATGACAGTTGTCCTATCTATGTGTATATTTTAGGTCAATTTAAAGTTTAAAAGATCGGCAACGCAACTGGAAGTCCCCTGGTGTTGCAGTTCTTCACGGACGGTGGTCAACACTAACCATTAGGTGAATCGAATAAAAAACACTTGTTTACAAGTTTGACACTTAGTAAAACCAACGTAAACAATTTATGCAAGAGTGCGAAACTAAAAATTAGATAGAAAGAAGATAACAGAAGAATTCTAATTCTATTAGAAGCTTTTTAATTCTTTGGAGTCGGTTTTCACTTTTATTAAAAATTTAATTTTATCTCTATTATGTGTACAAACACTCTCTCTATTATGTGTAATATCACCGTGCAAAGCTTACAATTCTATGATAATTAAAAGACTCACTTTCCAAAACTGGAACGGATGTCCAAAGTAAACAGGCGTATGTTTAACTTTCCGCTTCGTTAAGCCAACCATGATCCTCTATATTGCTGTTAAATTATATTAAGTATAATATAATATCTGATACGATTTCGCAAACGACGCGCGTAACTTATTGCTCCGGCTATTGATTAAACTTTTGCTTGGAAACCAATCACAAAGAACGCGTACTTGAATATTGATTTTTACTGTGTATACAGTGAAATTAATTATAGAATAATATAATTAATAGGGTTTGATATTGAAGTGATGTCCTTTCTTGCGATATTAGAATTCAAACGAAAAGACCGTCCATTTAATGGTATACTGTAAACGTAACAGGCTATCAAAGGTCCGTTGCTGAACATAAGCCTCTCCCATAGATTTCATAATAGGGAGGATATTTGCCATAGTTGCCACGCTTGGCAAGCAGTTTGGCAACCGCAGTTTTTTTTAATTAAAATTAGTGCCATGTTAAAACTCTTGTAAACGTAAAAATCTGCACTGGTTCGTAAAAACGAGACCTTTAATGCCATGCTACAACTATACATGTGGTGGAACCACGCTGTAGCTACTCGTATGTTATGGTTGTAGCACGAATGGGCGGTTTTTCCATTTACCGGCACGGCACCGGTACAGCGATGACACGGTGACGGCACAGCGACGGCACAGCGACGGCACAGCAACGGCACGGTGACGGCACGGCAACGTCACCGTGCCGTGCAACGTATAATTAAAAATTAAAAATATTGTACAGCCGACTTCAATATAAGTTATTAAGAATAACTCAAAAACCATTGGTCTGACCTTGATCAAATTCATATGAGACCACACGAGAAGTACCAGCTTTCAAATAAAAAATCATCGAAATCGGTTCACCCAGTAAAAAGTTATGAGGTAACACACATAAAAAAAACATACAGTCGAATTGAGTACCGTCTCCTTTTTGCAAGTCGGCAGAAAAGCAATTCACCTTCAGCTGTATTCTTAAAGATTTCATTTTAAAACTAGCTGTTTCTCGCGACTTCGCCCGCGTGTAATTTAAGGTTTAATTTTTTTGCGCGGAACCCTAATTCTTAAGAAAAAAAAGTAGCCTAAATTACTCCTTATCACTACAGCTACCTGCCAGTGAAAGTCCCGTTAAAATCGGTCCAGCTATTTCGGAGATTAGCCGGAACAAACAGACAGACAAAAATGTTAAAAATTGTGTTTTTGTTATAAGTACCGTACATATATACATTCATATGCATTAAGTAAAAAGCTGTAATTTTGACACTACAAACAGATTCTAATTCGTTTCTAGTCTATCTTTGGGAACCTCCACTACAAATACGCTCTAAGAAGTGAAAGAAGTTAGCCGTGTGAAAGCTTCTATCGCTATTAAATTATAAACATTTGCATGATTCAAATAGTTCATCAAACTATGTCTAACGATTCAAGTTTCACCAACTATGGCCGGGAATACTTTATCGCTGTACATCTGAAGGCCTTTTGAAGTTTTTAGAAGTTTTGTTATCGCTTGGCAGTCATTATCATTACAACATTACCAGTTTCCTGGAATAATAGCTATTTTTATTTATAACGTGGTCGGCTCGACTGGGGAAGGACCACGCTCTCATAGAATACCAGCGTAAAATGGCAGCTTTACGTTCCTGTGTTTCGTATGGTAAGTGTAGAGAACCGGAGAAAAGGTTCTCCGGTTTACTGGTCTACTGGAAACTAGGCATTCCATCCTAGTCCTCACGGGTGAAAACGCATCTGCATTTAGATTCGTAATCGAAGATAGATGTAGATGTTTATGGGACACATCAACCATTTATCATCAGGTGGACTGAGTGCTCGTTTGTCACTCTTATCCTATAAAAAAACCGGCCAAGTGCGAGTCGGACTCGCACACCGAGAGTTCCGAACAAATACCGTAGGTATATAACTTTAAAATTATTAAAAATATTTTTATTATATGATGTAACTAAAAATTTATGCTTTTCGCAATTTTTCCTTTATCTGTGCTATAATACGTTGCTTCGTACCAAATTTTAAGATTCTGAGTTCACGGGAAGTACCCTTTAGGTTTTGATTCCCTTGCGAATGTCGAAAATTTGCGGCATAAACGGCTGTATCTTTTCATTGCGTTGGCTTTTTCACAGCTCCAAGGGACAGTAGACTTGAGTATTTGATATGAATTTCAGTTTGATACCTACATGCGTTCCTGAGAAAAAGGGTCTTGACAGACAGACAGACAGACAGACAACAAAGTGATCCTATAAGAGTTCTGTTTTTTCCTTTTGAGGTACAGAACCCCAAAAAAAAGTTATTTTATTTCAATTTTCTGGTAATATCGACTATTTGATATGACCATTATTCATGGAGATATTTCGTGACCGTGTATCAGCATGGTAAGTTTAAAAAAAGTGCAGGTAAAAAAGTTTTAAGTCTTTATTTTAAGAGCATATTGAAGAGACTAAGAAATAACAATTTTGCTTGAAATTATTTCAAGGAGAAGGAGGAACCCTCTATGATGAACTCTTTCTTCCAGAAGCGTAAACACAGAAAGTGGCCCCCGTCTAGTTCCGAATCTTCGACAAAAAATGAGATTGACATCATAATGACGACCAGAGACCAACAGTTTCCTGATGTTTTAGTGATCGCGAGAGAGAAATCTGGTAGAGAACACCGAATGGTGAGAGGCACGTGAGATCTAAGTGTGATTGAGAACTTGTTGTAGGCAGTATGATGTCAGTCTGTGAGACATTTT